GGCTGCAGCCGACCCCATCCGCTGAGCCCCAGTCTCCTCCAGCCTCCTCCCTGCTCTGGACAAAAGACTAGGGGCTTGAGGGAGGGCAGGAGAGGAGGCAGAGGGGTGGACACAATGGCCTTCAATGCAGAGGGGGGCCAGGGGTGTGGCTCCCCAGGGCTGAAGCAGGGCAGGCCTGTTCAGGACTGCAGCTCACAGGCCCTCCCCTGGTGGGCAGGGACACCCCCACTGCAGTTCCCACCCTGTCCCCCTGGGTACCTGGAAGGCAGCTCATTCAGAGAGTTCATGGGGTTCAAGGGGTTCATGGGGTTCACAGACACCTCCTCCAGAGGCTTCACATAGGCCTCAGGGAACCAGCCACCCCTGCGGGGCAGAAGCAGAGGGTCTCTTAGCAAGAAGGAGTAACAAAGACCCAAAGCAATTCCGGGGGCAGACCATCACTGCACTGCGGCTGCTGCTGGCCCGGCTCTCTGCCAAAGGGAGGTCTCCCCGCTCCCCTGCAGTCAAGGCCTGCCGAGTCCCCCCCCCACCCGCCGCTCCAACCTCATGTCCCACCAAGGGCTGGGGCACTTGGGGAGGAAGCACAGGGCCGAGAAGAAAAGCAATCTGTCCAAGGATGAAGCAACTGGTCTACCCCCTGCTCACCGAGCGCCCTGAGCCAGCACACAGGGACCCCCGCCCCCTGCTCACTGAGCACCCCCCAGCCAGCACACAGGGAACCCCACCCCTACTCACTGAGCACCCCTCAGCCAGCACACAGGGAACCCACTCTCTGCTCATTGAGCACCCCCCCCCAGTCAGCACACAGGGAACCCACCCTCTGCTCTCGGAGTGCCTCCCCCCTAGCCAGCACACAGGGAACACCATCCCCTGCTCACTGAGCACCACCTAGCCAGCATACAGGGAACCCCACCCCTACTAACTGAGCACCACCCAGCCAGCACACAGGGAACCCACCCTCTGCTCACTGAGCACCTCCCAGCCTGCACACAGGGAACCCACCCTCTGCTTACTGAGTGCCTCCCCGCTAGCCAGCACACAGGGAACCCACCCTCTGCTCACTGAGTGCCTCCCCGCTAGCCAGCACACAGGGAACCCCATCCTCTGCTCACTGAGCACCCCGCTAGCCAGCACACAGGGAACCCACCCTCTGCTCACTGAGCGCTCCCAAGTCAGCACACAGGGAGCAAGGACAGCTTCTCCCCCTGGATCCTGGAAATAGATTACAGACACCAGCCCAGGGCGATAGCAGGCCGTGCAGAGAGGGCCCCAGGCAGGTGTCGGACCCCAAATCCAGCGCTCCTTCCTCCTCAGCCCAGCCGCTCCCCTTCACCCCAGGCCCTCTGGCCCGAGGACCCCTGCACCCACAGCGCGGTGTCTGCGCCCGCTCCATGAGGCCTCCACTCAGCGCCTGCCCCGGGCATCTGCCTGGGCTGCGGGCTCCGGGCTCCTTGTGCGCGCTGAGAGCTCAGCTGCTGCGGAGGGAAAGACCAGCCCAGCGCTCCCGGACCTCAGCGCTCCCTGTTCTCAGCACTCCACGGAGCGAATACGCCCAAAGACAGCCTCACCTACAGAACGGGACCTCACGCTGCAGCACGCCCGCTTCCTGTCCTCCTGCTTCACCACCCAGTGCCCGCTGACGGTCACCCTCGGCATCCCTGCCCCTGCTAGGAGTCCCAGGCACATGGACTGACAGCATCTGTCTAGAAGGTCCCTAGGAAGCGTGTGACACACCTGTCGTCTGGTGCAGGTCTGCAGAGTGGGCACGCCAGGGGCCAGCATTCCTGGCACTCGCGTCCTCAGTCCTCTCTCTACCCAGACCCCATCCTGTCCCTGGCCACATGGTCACCTGCCGTACCTTTGCATCTGACCACAAGCCCTCCATGCATCACAACCGCTGGTCAGCCGTCCAATAGGCATCCACCAATTCGCCCAACCCCCTCACTCACCCAGCCATCAGCCCAGGCACACAGCCCCCCAGCTGCCCATCGGTCTACTGCCTGCATCCCAATCCACGCATCCTCCTATGCCCCCAAACACCCCGTCAACCCCCAGGCACCCGTCCATCCACCCACCCATGTGGCCACTGCTCGTACAGCACACCTTCTGCCCGCCAGGCACTAACCCACAAGACCACGTACCATCCATGATTTGGCACGGGCCGCCGCCAGGCCCCTGTTCACTCACACCCTGCTCGCTCCTCCCTTGCGGCATGACTGGGAGTGGGCACTGCTCTTCTGCCACGCAGCCCCGGGGCACTGCCAGCCCCTCCGGCAAGCTCCCACTCCCCCCTTCTCCTGCAGGACACAGTGGGCTCTGCACACCCCTCTGTGGCTGCCAGCTGGCTCTCCTCCAGGCTCCCTGACAACCACAGAGGACTACCTCCCCGCTGCCACCTCCACCGGGCAGCAGACAGGATTTCCGCTGCATGACCAAGGAGGGACACACACGACAGCCCTGGCTCCCTGTCCACACCCACGTCAGCCCCACAGCAGACTCAGGTCCAGAGGGGAACCACCCCTCCTCGACGCCAGGCTCCAGCAGGGTTTCTGTCATTGCACACTTTGGAGAGAACCACCCACCCTACCCTCTACCACTTCTCAAGGACCAGCACCCCGAGCTGGGTAGGGAGGCTTTTCCGATGGGGAAACAGGCAGGCAGCGGCGTGGCCAGCGAGAAGAGGGGAGATCTGTCCGAGGCCCGAGTCAGGGTCCATATTTCTGGTGCCATCTTTTTCCCGGCCTGGAGGTCTCCATGTGAGACGTCCCACGCCCCCACGCCCCCCCCAGGCGCCCACTCACGTGGATGAGCCCTCCAGCTTGCCGTAGAGCCAGCCGTTCTGCGCCTCGGGCACCAGCACCTCCACGACGTCTCCGGCCGAGAAGCGCAGCAGCGTGTGGTTGGCGCCCTCGGAGTGGGAGACCAGCGCGCGGACTCTGCGGGCCCCGCCCGGGCGCTCGCCGAAGGAGTTGGAGCGCGAGCGCGGGGGGTCCCCACGGCTGCC